TTTTGTGTTTTTTGTAATGGTTGTTAACAAACATGTCTTGACCAAAATCGTATATCTAATGTGAAATACATGGATGTATTCTTACTTAAAATAAGAGAACGAGTTAATTGGAACTATAAAAGAGACTTTATATATTTTTATTTCTATTTAAGGGATCATGTTACCAATGATCACAAGTTATAACTCTCAGGTCTTTTCGGAAACATTTTTGCAAATACATTTTGTTAAGCTTAGGAGGCGTTTAGCTCGTAGAATATATAGAATTTGGTGGAATTGAAATCTATCAACAAAATTTAACTTTGAATGAATTGGAATGAAATTTGACCTTGAATGAATTGGAATGAAATTTGACCATGCGTTTGGTCAGTAAGAATTGTAATAAAATTTCTCAAAAGAATTGGAAAATCTCCAACTTTTTGTGGTGGGAGGGTAGGTGGGGTGGCAATTGTAACGACAACATTAGTTACATGGTGATATTGGTGGTTGTAAGTGGGTGTAGTTGGGGGGGTGGCAGTTGTGATGACGATAGCAGTGGCATGATGGTCGGCAAGGTGGGGGTCGTAATCACAACTACCACCCCACCCCTCGCTCCCGACCCACCTCTTGCCTTTCCCGTCCCCACCCTCTGTCGCCAACCCCCAACCCATGTCTTGCCCTTACCGACCCTACCTCTGCCACCCGCATGGGTAGGTGGCGGAAAGGGGATAGTTGTGATAACGACAATAGTGGCATTATGGTTGATGGGTTGGGTGGGGGTAGGGTTGGGTGGGGTGGTAGTTGCAAAGACAACATGGTGGTTGGTGGGGTGGATATGTGATGACAACAGTGGTGGTATGATGGTTAGGTGGGTGGGTGACAGGGTGGGGTGGCAGCTGGATGACGACAATTAGTGTGGCGGATGAACATGGGTGGGGTGTAGGTGGATGACAGGGTGAGGTGACAATTTGACGATGACAATAGTAACATGGTGGTCAGCAGTGGGTTTATGGTAGGGGTATGTGGCGGTTATGATGACCAAGTAGTTGTGTGGTGGGCGATGGGGGTTTAGAGATGGGGGCATGACAGTGACAGTGTTGGTTTAATCAAATGAAAAGGGATTTTAATTGGATGCAAAGGGATTTTCTTCAGTTATGTCAAGAAATGATAAATTCATTAATTTGTAAAATTCAAAGGATTCCATTCATTTCAATATGTGAACTAACAAATGAATTATAATTTGGTTAAACGAATTGATCATTCCAATTCTCTTGAAGTCCTTTGAATTTTGCGAACCAAACAACACTTTAGGATATTTACAAAAACAATATTTTATTATTTGGAGTAGAAAAGAAGGTTGCATAGATTAGTGATCATACCCTTCAAACCGTACATTTAGGTCGGATATATTTGGTTTAATTTTGTAACTTTTTTATTGTTACGTTTTTCTTTCTAAAACCATATAAACCACTTTACTTTTTTTTGTTTAAAGAACTATATTTCCGATTAACGATTCTGTTAAATGGTACCTTCAAACACAAACAAAACTAAAGTACAATTATTTATGTTTATGTGGTGTTTGATTTTTTTAATAGGAGTTAAAATCTAATACTTCACTGTCTTATTAATAAAGAGGGGATGCGGCAGTCTGAATATATAATTAATATAACTGTTTATTTCTGTAAACTGATAAATATTTGAATGTGTAAGTAGAACAAATGTTAATTATATTAGAAAAGAATTACAACAAATAAAAAACATAAATGCTAACTAAAAATATGAAAATAATATTTTTTACAAGTACTAAATTTATTGAGCTTATTGCAAAAACCTTGTTCGGATGAGCAAAAAGTAACTTATAGCTACCTTATTAAGACCGTATTTGGAGTAAAGTTTTAGGAGTTTTTGACACTTTTTCAATTGTAATTCTGATTAATATTAATTATTATTTATTACTATTGAATATAAATAAATAATAATTAATACTAATTATTAGTGAAAATTAATCATTGATTAATT